AAAATAAACCTTGGTCAAACAGGGAAAAGAAAAAGAGTATAACGCACCAATATAACTGATGTTAAATAAGTATGTAAGGACCTCCCCTGAATGCAACACACCAATAAGAATTCGATATGTACTTGATATATACTTTTATCAAGGTATTCCGTATATAACATATTGGTTTCTTTCATGGTAAATATATACTCATTTAAGAAAGTATCAATGAGGTAAGGGGATATCCATCATCGGTAAAACTCAAATGACGTTACTTTGTGTAAGAGTGATACTTTTGATATTTCCAATTCTTTTAGAAATATTTTCATCATCAATCATTTGATTAATTTGTAAGGGATGAATAAAGATTACACAAATGGTTTTATATAGATATCAAAGTACATCATTGATACTATTTCAATGATGATATACGATGTATTGGTCCTGAGCTATTTTTAGCTAACACGTTCTTGAGAATGTATTATTTGGTCGAATGTGTTTGTCAAAATACAATCATGCGCACATTGCACTTTCATAGGGAATTCCTTCTCCCAATAACTTTCCAATAATGGATATATTTTCTAGCATCCATATTTCGACCAATCATGGGAGTGCTAACAGTTTACATTTATCCATGTTAATTTGCCTGAGAACCCTTTTGGATATATGCAACTGGTGAACTATTATTCAACCAACTCGTTGTTTTCAAAACAACCCGAGTTTCCCAAGATCCTTTATCTCAATTATGACTTTCAAGTATCTAAGATTTCTCATTATCTTTAATGAGTATATACCATGTCTATATCTTCGACATATAATGATACTTGGAGGGAAAACATAATCTAGTTTTTCTATCCCTTTTCAATCAAGTTGTCACTTAGACAGGTATGTCACTCTCGTCTGGATTGATTTCATCCAAATGTGAATGTTTCATGTGTAAATATACAATATAATTTAAAACCACTTGATTAAACATAACAAATACTTTATATACATCTCTTTAATGAAATTGTATTGAGACATTTAATATCCACAATCTTTAGTTGCGTCTCCATTACTTTGGAGTCTACTTATAGATTAAGTAGTTGAACATTTTTGTGGTCAAAATAGAGAGGTATAACTTTTCATATTTGAATCCAGGGCGTTGTTAGAATAATTAGGACCTCATTATCTCAGTACGCTTTCTAACAAAGAAATATTTCATGTCCTACAGGCTTTACACTTGGTTGATTAGCACTATCATACCAAATACCTGTCTCTTTGTCAAATATTAAATTTATACCTGGATTACTTGTACGCATTTAGGCCAATATTCTCATTGCTTTCATATTGCAATAGAGTATGGTTCGATATCATCGTGCTCTATGCTCCTTTGAGTAACTGTATAAATATATCGTCAGTATAAGTGTAAGGTCTATCATTCGACTCATACACACTCTCATTAACATTGAGATTTTAATTCTCTGAAATTATTTAAACTTCGAGGCGTCCCCCATTATAAATTCATGGACATGTTTAATCAGAGATGATCTCATGAGAGGATTCATATGATGACGAGTATATTGGTTTGTGCCTTATCTACCCTCTACTACTTGGGGTGGATAATTAATCGAACCATGTGGCTTCCCTCTATTCCTTTAGAGAGCCACGGCCTCAACCACAACCCCACTGCTTGTGATTGCAATGCTTTTTCCTTTAGCATTGTTTCTTTTAATTTAAATTCAAGCCTTATAAATATGTTTGCAGCTAGTGTGTATAATCTGATTACTTAAATCATTTATGATACCACTTTAACTTCAATGTTACATTTTGAAGTCTAAGATTTATCATTGAGACAAAGTAATGATGTACCATCATAATGATTTTGTCATTCAATTAGAGAGTTATTTCTCTAATCTCCCCTAATGACAGGAAAATCAATTGTCTCATCAAAGTCATATCCCGCAAAGCGGTGTACACATTATTTGTTAAGGCTAGTAGCGGATTATTGTTGGGGATTCATATCCAACATAAACATCATTTTTCTTTTAAAACCGATTATAGTGCGTTGTGAGAGACGCAATAGGCACAACTATTTAACAACCACATATTCATAAGTAGAACATCTCAGGCTAATATCCAGTCACCAACTGGTATACATAAACGTGGTTGTCTAGTATCGGTTTAAAAAAATGTGTAAGAGTGCTTGCATCTTTGGCAACTTCTAGATGCATTTAGAGGTCAAGGAGAACACAATTCTATTCATTTAGAAATTAAATATTTAGGCAATTCATCGCCCTTAATTGATCATAAATGAAAATAAGTAATTACTTCAATAAATAAATATTTATTCCTTAATTTATTGTGTTTAATCACAATTGACTAAAACACTTATTTGAGATCATAACACTTTAGAGTGTTATGATCTCAAATATATGAGGTACATATCATTCTACTATTTTAAGGATATATTCCTTTGTATCCCTTTTTATTATATGTATCTACTATTTTTGTTATGAACAAAATTCATAGATATGCATTTAATGAATCCAAATGGATAAATATCTCAAATATAATTTGAGATAAAATAATGAGATGTCAACTCAATTTAAAATCTCAAACAAATATAATTATACCAAACTTTAAGACTTAAATAAAAGTCTAATTAGAAGTAAAAATGTTCATATTTATAAAGCTCATGAAAGAATTAAATAAAAAATCGATAAATTCAATAATTAGAGAGTGTTCTTATTCTCAAAAAAGTAGACAATCATGAAACTTAATTTATATTCTCATGCAGTGAATCTCTTGTTCTTTAGAGATTCTACGAAGATAAAAACTAATAGTATATTTTCAAGTTATATATATCCTGACGAGATAATCACATTTAATCCTCTTATATTAAGAGATTTACTTTAAAATTTATATTTTCATTTTTTTTGGGAATTTCTTTATCCAAATAACTCTTGGGAGGTTTCTTTATCCCAAAAAATATTGTAATTGCATTTAAAAAAAAAAGACACAATAACAATAAACATCATTCACTAGTGCCAGCTAAAAGCTAGTTAGTTACATAATTATTTAATATATACTGGTGCATTAGTATATGTCTAGAGAAGTATGTGTAAAAATGGTTAATTTTTTTCTATCAAATTAAATAAGCTTTTGTGATTTGCTTTTTACAAAGTGTGCCGGAGTAGCATTGAATTCTAAAATAAGCGTTGAAGATACTCAAGTTCATTTGAGTGCATAATGTCAAACTCCGGTCAAATTGATTGGTCAATTAAATTTGTAGAGCCTTGTGTGTAAATTCTTTATCACACAAATAATTAATATAGAAAACTGAATAATGGTACTCAAATCCGTCCGAGGCCAAAATGCCAAATACAAGATGATATGGTCAACCATCTTAAAAAAATTACATGATCATGGGTACATTCATGAACTTTTTTTAGTTCATATGATATAAAACAGAAACTTGTGTATAAACAAAATCGATTCTTTGTGTGAAAATTCTTTATCACAAAAAAATAATCATGAGAGTATGTCTCTTTGTAGACAATATTTTACAATGCATCGAAATGAGGAGATATATATTCACCTCCTTAAAAAAATCATAGAGATTTTTATAGGATGTTATATGGTGTTTTTAATATAGAAAGTATTAATATTGGTGTAATGAACGGATTAGACATAAAATATAGTAATCTTACGTGATTATGGTTCCAACTATATGTAAGTGACATATAGCATTACGGGAAAATATAATCACATAATATGTTTAAAATAATGAAAAAAGTGCATGATATGATTTTAATTCCAACTATATGTATCTAACATATAGCTTTACGGAAAGTATAATCATATAATCATATAAAATACATGAAAATAAGATTAATCGTGTGATCTTTGATTCCAATTATATGTATATGACATATAGTTTTACGAAAAAGTATGATCACATAGGTGTATAAAAACGAAGAGGGATGCATAATGTGATATTAATTCCAACTATATGATTATAACATATAGCATTACGGAATTATAATAAAAAATTGCATCTATCTCTAAAAAAAAAATGGATGAGGCATATCATCAAACACTTGGGGTGCAAGAAATGGATCTCAAAAAATCGACAACTTAATCTCTAAAAAAAATCAATGATGTTCATCACAATGGTAAACAGATGCAATAAATCATATACATAAGATCCTGCAATGATTTTTGAGTAAAAAAATACCTCAACAGAGATCCGGGAATTAGTGAGTCGCAGGCTAGGAAGGGGGAGGCCGAGCAGGAGCGACACGAGTGTACTCGGAGAGCTCCGCCTTACACGGCGGGAATTTGTTAGCCTCCACCACCGGCAAGAGCGGCACGAGTTCTTCAGCCGCGTGGTGGGTGTGGAAGTCAAGGAATTCGCCGTAGGAAGATATATTCTTACCGATTAAATTCTTGGTTGGAAGATTACAGTTGACTGACGAGAGGAACGCACCGGTGGATAACCGGCGGTTGAAGAACCCACCATTTTTGAAGATTCCGACGTGATAGAACACAAAGCAGAGAACGGTGGTCGAGGAAATGAGATAAAGATTAGTTTTTTTTTGTTCTCGCGCTAAGGCCTAAGGAATCTTGGCAACTGGGAAGAAATCGCCATTGTTGCCGCCAAACCCAAACAGGGAAGAAGAATATTAGTACATTAGTTTATTTCGGCGCGGCTGTTCTACGGATTTCATAGCTTAGGATGGGGGCGGAAGGCATAGCTAGGTTTTGGAGAGCTAGGTGCTGATAACGTGTTGTAGGGAGAATGATTCGTAGAGTTTCATTACCGAGAGTCCCTATAAATAGGGATAGGGTAGGGTTTACAAGTACGGACCAATAGACCCATAATACATCATTTACATAGAAAGACCCTAATACATATTCTATCTAAATGATAGTACACAACATAGAATTTCCTTCTACACATTTCAATTTGCAAGAGCTTTTATAAAAACATCGAAGTGACTTCTAGATTTTGCACTTCTCCCGTGTGTATATATATACATACATGTACATCATATGATCGCAAGTGACTTCAATTCTCCGGCGTATCTAGGGCCATAGGCACTTGAGCGTTGCTAAAATATTACGTAGTATTACTCTGACTTTGGGATCCGGCTCCCCGGGTCTGATGCCTTTTCTATACTGATCTTACTCGTCTGTCGTCTCCTTTGCCTTTGAAAGAAAGAGTCGCTGAGCTGAAGCATTGGTCTAGAGAAAATGGCTGCTTTGGAATCGACCCAATCTCAGTTCATGACCGGCACTGGTAATCGGAGCCTCCCCAGTGAGCCACTCATTGATAACATTGAATACGACCAGATTGTCGTGGCTGATGTCAGTCTCTCTTTCTCTCACACATGAAAACATACAGTGCTCTATCGTGTTTCTTGGCAAAAAACCACGTCTTGAAGTGTATTTTCGTGTTCCTCTTCGTAAAAATGATAATCTATGAAGGATGATATGCTTTATGGTTCATTGCATTTGGATTGAAATATGCTTCCAAGGGCATCCAGAAGTCTGGCTCTGAAAATTAATTATTTGTTCAAGTATAGACCTAGCCCAAGGAAACTTTTAGTTCGTCTCTATGGGTTTCATAGGTTAAATTATTAAACATTGTTTAATAAAACCAAGTAAATGAAAAACATGAAGGTAATTGGCTTTATTGTTTTTCCATAACATTAACCGAAAAAAGCAATTTTTTTTTTGCATTATATTTTACAATGTTTAGACGATTCTTATTCATCCACCTAAAATATGCCACGGTTTAGTAAAATGAAATTGGTTGAGAAGACGATTCGTATTTATCCACATAAATAGAAGATGCTTGCCAAATAGTCGCTTAGAGTATATGTATCTGGCACTCGGTGCTATGATGCTATCATTTTCCTTTCATTCAATGGGAATCTAAATAAAGAAAAACGAACATATTCTGATATTAAATTCGTGGAATTGTCTCTGGTTCTTCTTCTTCTTCTTTTTGTGGGTTCCCTTTTGTTTCTGTTATCTACTGACCACTCTTTTCTTGGTCTTGACATGAGGATACTTTTTATACCTGGACTCTGTCTATTCTTTCTTTGTGTTAAAGCTTTTCATGGACCTGATGAACTCAGTGTCTGATCATGTTCTAATGTTTGTAATTCAAATAACGGGAATCAGACAGGGCCCATTTAGGGATAATACTCCCATCATTTTCATTTACCCCCATGCCGCAAAGGCTCCCACCTACGGTGGGGTAAGACGGTCGGATGTACGCAGTCTTACCCCTGTACTAAAGCACAGTACAGAGAGACTGTTTCCGGATGATCCATAGTGAAAATCGCGTCCAAAATTGCATGGACTGACTGCTGCTCCATAACAAAGAAGCGCAGACAGTTTAGTGAGCCATTTTGCTTTATTCCATCATAATCTCAAGCCAAAAAATAAGGAATCTTTTGCTCCATTGCAAATGATGGAAAACATTTAGGGATAATACTATTCTCATTAAAAGATCATTTCTAGTTATCTTTCAGTATGTTTAGTGTCAGGAGCGAACCTTTTTTCTAGTCGTATGTATTTGTATAATTTTGACAAAATTTATGGTGCATGCTGGAAAGATAACTGAACTTGATATGAATATCACTGTATGCTACACCATGGATGACCTTCACTGGTTTCAGCTTATGTTTTGAGCGGTGGAGGGGAAAATTTAGGAAGAAAGAGAGTTAGGCACTTAGGCCCTGCTTGGTACCGCTTTTCGTTTTAAAAAGTGCAACAGTCTAATCAATGACATTACCTTTACTACCAAATGGGCCATTAGTCTTTAAACATTTATTTTATATTGCAACAAGGGAGAATTTGGCATGAATTTCTTTTGCACATTGTGTTAAATTGTCATGAGTTGTAAGATGGATGGTACTTATTATGTAGTTCTTATATATATATATATATATATATATATATATATATATATATATATTCATGCAGAAGAAGAGCTGGAAAAACTTCTTTGCATATTTGGGTCCAGGCTTCCTTGTTTGTATAGCTTACATTGATCCAGGAAACTGTATGATCTCTTTTATTCAGTATTGCTCTTTATTAAGAATTTTTTCCCATTTCCTTTGAGTAACCATTTTCTTACTTGAAAAAATATGGTTCGCAGTTCAAACAGACCTACAGGCCGGGGCCCAATACAAATATGGGGTAAGCATATGTTTTATACACCTATCATGCAAATCAACAACATAATTTTTTATGTGAAATGGATTTTGAGCTGGTAGGACATTTCACAGTTCTGATTCGTACTATTTAAATACTATTATTCGTCAACATGAAAATACATGGAACATCCGCGTAGTAGCATTTTACATATATATCTTTGTTTTGCAGTTACTATGGATCATACTATTGGCATCATTTGCAGCCCTTCTTATCCAATCACTTGCAGCAAACCTCGGAGTTGTCACAGGTTTCACATTTTCTTAATCCATATAATTACTTGGATATGTACGTACATATGCCCTTGATTTATACACACACACATGTGGCAGGGAAGCATTTAGCAGAGCACTGTAGAAAGGAATACAACAAGGTGCCGAATTTCCTCCTATGGATTCTTGCCGAAGTTGCCATTGTTGCATGTGACATTCCTGAAGGTTAATAATTAGAACATTGATTAATTAATCTGACCTATTGCTCAATATACTTCTTTTTATATTCTTGGATAGTTTTCCTCTCTTCGTAAACAAAACTCAACCAACCTGTTGTCATAATTCACGTGCAACAACAAAGACTAATATATTTATTAGAGTTCGGAGAACTTTGCAAACTTATGTTGGGTATGGTGTTCGTGTGTAGTGATTGGAACAGCATTTGCTTTGAACATGCTCTTCAAAATACCTCTGTGGTGTGGTGTACTTATCACAGGATTCAGCACATTGGTTCTGCTGCTACTACAACAATATGGGGTGTGTAGTACATACACATAACCTTGCAAAAAAATTGGGGGAATAATGCATATTTGGTCTCATGATTCTTCATTTTTTGATGATGTTAGGTCTGAAAGTGCTCTAACGTGTTCCTTAATTTGGGCTTTCTTGGTTTGCAGGTGAGGAAGCTTGAGATATTCATAGCATTCTTGGTGTTCACTATCGTGGTGTGCTTTTGTGTGGAGCTTGGATATGCAAAACCGGAATCATCTGAAGTTGTTGAAGGGCTGTTCATTCCTCAACTCAAGGGAACCGGGGCTACCAAGCTTGCCATTTCCCTTCTTGGTGCTATGGTTATGCCGTAAGTGCGTGTTTGTGTTTCTTTAGCTTTTTCGGAAGTTGAAGTATGGCAGTATTCACATGTCAATACTCCTTTTCCAATGGTTCTAGGCACAACCTCTTTCTCCATTCCGCTCTTGTGCTTTCAAGAAAAATCCCAAGATCTACAAATGGAATTAATGTATGTGTTTCTTTTTCTTTTCTTTGCAAATATGTGGTATCTAGGCTCTAGCTGAACTTTCCTTTCTTATCGGTGCACCATGCTAAAAGAAATGTAAATGTCTGCTAAAGGACCAACTTATTTAAGCTCATAGTGAGCAATACGAGCTTTAGTTGTGTTCAAATGATTAAAGATGTAGGCTAGAATTTTCTTAAACTGAAGTGTTGTGTGCAAGAGGTACTGTATGTTGAAATGGAATTACCCGATGTAGTCTTACAAATTCAAGAAACTAGCAAAATTAATCAATCTTGTAACTTAATCCTTTTAAGTTTGGAATTCACCAATTTTATTCCACAACATTAATAAACTAACCATATTTTGTCCCCTTTTCCGCCTAAAACATTAAAAAAGAATCTGCAAAAATAAAATAAAAAAGTTTATAAAATATTATGAAAAAACCAAAGCAGATAAAAAAGAACAAGAAAAGTTTTTCAGAATTTAAAGTATTGGCTTACACAAGGGACAAAATTCCTGCTAGTTGTTAAAGTTGTGGGGCTATAAATCAAAACACACATACACGGGCACTTTACCACCGCACAGTTTTGGATGTTATATCCCTAAATATTGTCCAAAGCATTTGGGAAAAATTGTGCGTGCTTATACATTTAGCATTTGTTCTAGCAATTCCCGCCCCTAGTTGGTAGGCACCAATCAGCTGCCCGTCTGACTGTCTGAGCACTATGGATATTTTTCAAGCATACAACGGATGTGAGAATTATTTTTGCAGGAGGCATGCACATGTTACAGGATCGAGAGTGGCATAGCCTTAATAGTGGCGTTTATTATTAACATTTGTGTCATCTCGGTAAGCGGTGCAGTTTGCAATTCCCCAAATTTGAGCAAGGAGTATCAGGACAGCTGCTCTGACCTGGACCTCAACAAAGCCTCTTTTTTACTGAAAGTAAGCAATCTTTCTCTCTCTCTCTCTCTCTCTCTCTCTTTTAGGTTTCTGTATGAGGTATTGGTTATATATTTTCAAATCATATTGTACAGAACGTTTTAGGCAACTGGAGTTCAAAGATTTTTGCAATTGCTTTGCTTGCATCGGGGCAGAGCTCTACAATAACGGGGACTTATGCTGGACAATATGTTATGCAGGCAAGCAATATGTTTTTTTTATTCCCATCAATTGGGCTGGCAGGCAGCTGGCTATTTACATACATTCTAGCTGGCTACGTAATCCTCCCTCGGCGGTTGTTTTTACCATCATTTATTTGTTTATTTCCTTGGAGGGGTTGCAGGGGTTTCTTGATTTAAGGTTGAAGCCTTGGATTAGGAACATGCTAACTCGGGGCTTAGCCATTGTTCCAAGTCTAGTAGTTTCAATTATCGGTGGCTCAGCTGGGGCGGGTGACTTGATCATTATTGCATCGGTATTCTCCCTTTCCCTGCTTTGCCCTGTCATTTCCTAGACACACACAGCATGCAAAGTTTCCTTTCTAATGGAAGGTCACCTGTTTTTTTCTCTCTTTCCAAATCTAAATTGACCCCAAATTCTATTATTGGTATGATAGATGATCTTATCGTTTGAGCTCCCTTTTGCCCTCATTCCATTGCTCAAGTTCACCAGCAGCAACACCAAGATGGGCTCGCATGCCAACTCCAAAATTGTATGTTTCTTCCAACTCCACACGCATTTCGTCCAGATATAGGCATATTTAAGGCATGCTAAGTATAAATATCAGTTTTTTGTTTTATGATAAAAACAATAATCATGCTTATAGTAAGTATATTAATTTTGAAAACAGAAAACAACTTTTAGGGATTTCAAATAAACAGAATACCAAAAAAGGAAACCATACCGGACAGGGCCTTAGCAAAGCTGAACCCAAACTGACTTCTTATATTACTGCCTGAACCCGTCCGAACTTGACCAAAAACTTCATCATGGTTTTAAAAAGATCATGTATTCTCCTTCTTATGTTCTAAATGAATTGAATTAAATATTTGACATTATTATTCGTATTCTCATACATTACTGAATATTCGTATTCATATAATAATCAAATCTTTTTCTTATATTCGTATTCGCTCTGTTTGTTATATTTGAATATATTCCAGTCCTATTTGAATATTCAAATTCAAAGAGAATTAAATGTCAAAATTTTCAAAATAATTAAAATTATAATATTTATGACCAGGAACAGGGCCCAACACAACATTTTTTTGTCTATAGCTCTGAATCCTTTTCGCCTCATTTTTGTAGCACATCCTTCATGCAAATCAAAATGTATCTACATGTCACTTCATCAAAGTTAATGAGAATATAAATTCGTATTCATGTAATACTCAAATCCTTTTCTTATATTCATATTCACTTTGTATGTTATATTCGAATATATTCGAGTCCTATTTGAATATTCAAAATTAAAGAGAATTAAATGTCAAATTCATTAAAATAATTAAAGTTAAAATACTCCGTATTTATGACCAGGAACAGGGCCCACCACACAATTTTTTTGTCTATAGCTCTGATCCTTTTCACCACATTTTTGTAGCACATCCTTCATACAGATCAAAATGCATCTAAATTCATCAATGTTAATGAGAATATAAATTCGTATTCATGTAATACTCAAATCCTTTTCTTATATTCATATTCACTTTGTATGTTATATTCGAATATATTCGAGTCCTATTTGAATATTCAAAATCAAAGAGAATTAAATGTCAAATTCATTAAAATAATTAAAAATATAATATTTATGACCTAGAATAGGGCCAACCACGAGATTTTTTTGGTCTTTGAAAAGACTATATTTGTCCTTTTCACCCCATATTTGTAGCACATTCTTCATAAAAATTAATATGAATAAGGCCAAGTTAATATGGATATAAATAAGGTAACTAATAATCATAACGCCAAAAGTAGCTATTATGAAAATTAATGACTAAGCAACAACAATAAACAAACAACATCCAAGCCTTACTCCCAAAAGATTTTGGGGTCGGGTAACATGAATCGGTTAATGATTGATATTAGAGCGCACCATATATAAACGTGTATAGGGTGCGGTTCCAATAAATGCGGTGTTCCCGTGCAAAACAAAATGCGAATGGTTGCACTTATTCACTTGCATGATGCACTTTTAGCTTTGTATGATGCACTTTTAAGAATGGTGGATTTGTTTGACATAATTATGAATATGGCAGTGCATTTTTGATGAAATTTATGCATTGTTGACATATTTAGAGTCATTTGATCGTAAATTGAATGCACTGGAACTATTCTTACTTTTCATGTGAAGTTGATGCATTCATAGGGTGTCAGTATCACCATAAAAGAAAGAAAGATACAAATCGGCAAATCACACAGACAAATCAGACTGATTTGGAAGTCAAACAAATTAAGCAAATCTGGGATATTATTTTCTGATTGCAATCTTTGAATTATTGTTTTCTTTTTAGTTGTTTTTTTTATTTTATTTTCCAAACTCACACAGACAAATCAGATTGATTTGGAAGACAAACAAATTAAACAAATATGGGATATTATTTTCTGATTGCAATCTTTGAATTATTGTTTTCTTTTTAGTTGTTTATTTTATTTTATTTTCCCAAACTCTTTTAAGCCTATTTAAAGCCAATTGAATGCACGAAAAAGGCATGCAAGATTTTAGCAAGAAAAATGCCAATTTTGGAATCCTCAATAAAAAATTCCAACTTGTGATTAAAGGTTGCATAGTTATACTCTTCCTAGTTTTCTGCCAAACAGTAAACATAGCCAACTCTTCCAAAGATTAGTCTACCCTCCCACTCACTCGAAGGCATGTCACGAGATCTTGCACACAAGTTGCCGTAACATTGGTTCCGTTGCCGGCGTCATGAGTGATGCGTTGTTTGCATCAAAGTAAGAAGTCTCCAATCTGAAAGAATCCATAGATAGCTTTGAACAGTTCATGAAAAAATTACTTGTAGGTGGAGCTAAAACTGCAACAACAGAGGCTGCTAATGCTGATCAGGTGGTGGTGGTACATGCACCCGACAACATGAATCACATGGCTACAACTCATGGATCACATTTCGAGTTTCTCCTTTTCTTTAGTGGGGAAGATCGACTCAGTTGGTGGCTTTATCGCTGTGAGTTATTCTTCATGAATCAGAACACCCCCCTGCAAAATGAGCCTCTATGGTGGCTTACTATCTCACTGTAGATGCTCAGTTGTGATATCACCATCTACGCCAAGACCAACCCCATATCTATTGGGAATCTTTTCGAGATTAGTGCACTCACATATTTGGTCCTCCTAGTGGTGCAAATCCATTAGGGGATTTGACAAATCTAAACCAACAAGGTCGTCCAATTGAGGAGTACATCAAACACTATCAGAACAACTTAGCCATGTTCCATCACTTCGTATGGAATACCAAGTTTCCATTTTCACAGCTGGGTTAGATGTGGTTGATGGAGTATATTCCCGTATACCCCAGGGGTACAATAATCGCCGGTAGAAAGCATCACAGATTCACCAGAGACAAGAAAATACCAAGTCCACAATCTAGGCCCGACCCCGACCCCGGGGTCGGGAACAGCGAGCTCAGGAATCAACCAAACTCGGCGGGCTATGAGCCTGACCTCGAGACACCCGAGGTCGGTACCAAGTCTGACCTTGGAAGCCCAGCTCCGGGTCAACGACAATAGGGCGCCAGACAGTTGACCACCGCCGAGGTAGGAACAGAAGACAACAGGGCGAATCCTCTCAGCATGAGCCCGAGCCCCCGGACGTCGACCTCAGTGATTCCTAAGGTCGGAAGAAAGCACCTCACACTTAGACAAAACCCACACAGACTTGACTCGCGGAAAACATCGCCACGTCATCCTCCGTATCAAAGGATATTACAGGCTACCCGCACACGATCATACGAGATCCTTGGCAGGAATTCTGTTAGAAGAATAATCAATCAGCCAGCTATCAAGGGCTTTCTCTCTCCAATCAGCTCTCCACGTGGCGGCTCCCGGTCCATTGGGTCTGGTAGTTTGTTAGAATAGCTTTACACGTGTCTCTCTTTTACTAGACTAGCTCCTTTTGCTTGTCTGCCAAGTATTTCCTTTTCTCCTTAGTATAAATGTCTCCTTCCGGCTTGTGGAAGGGGGTCCTAAATTTTCGCTTCTAAGTACTCGATTTACTGCACTTCTGAGAAGATACTTTGGGATTTCACCAGTTCGCTCTCCTTCATTCTTATTTCGGTGGATTCCGGCCACCCCTGGTCCGACGATCCATCATTTTTTGGTGCTCTCGTTGAGATTCGAACTGTGAACAAGTCAGATCCTCCCAATCTCTTCAGATCTACGACAAGCTTTTCTGCAGCAATGGCGGGAAAGAAAAATCTCAAAAGTCGATGTGTTGCTGCCGCCGTCGCCCCGGTGGAGCCCTCGCTGGAAGCCACTGCTACTTCTGGCGCTAGGAGGGCCGCCAAGGGAAAACAGGTCGCTGGAGCTTCTGTTGATCTACGCGATCAGATCCAGCGCACCTCCCCAGATCTGCGACAACAGATCTCTCTCAACCGTGATGTAGCGCCAGTGCCGTCCGCGCAGGTGATCCCACAATTCCAGAACCTTCTGATGGTGGATCCCTCTGCGGCGGTTGGCGCCCTCATTACTGGCTTGCAGCAGGTACTCCCAATGCTGCGATCTCAATCTGCAGCTGCTGTGGCTCTTCAGGCCATTCGACCTATCTCTCCGGCGAATTCCAGATCTCGCTCTCTGAGAGTAGGCTCCATTGATGCACCCCTGGTGGTGGAGAGGCCAACACAGATGGTCTATCAGTCTCCTCCCCGTCAGAGGGCAACTCCGGGGATCCAATCTCCCCCGATCCGTCAGGTGGCTTCCGCAGCACCGACAAATGCTGCGCCTCTCGCACAACAGGCGGGAACCTCCCGCCCTGTTGTTGCACCAAAGAGGATGGCGCCTCCGCCTCCTCCTGCACTGCCATCTAGGTACACTGCTCGCCGCATTGATTGCGACTGTACCAATGACGAGGGTGTTTATGCTATCACCACCGAGGACTCCTCGCAGTCCCCTTCCTCGCGACAAGATGATAACCCCAATCCCTGGATCAAAGTGGGAAGGCGTCCCATCTTCTCCAGATTGGGAGACAGATCCATGGCGAATCAGCGCCTATCTGTCAATATCCGAGGGATCAACCGGGCAAACTCCCCAGTGCCCGAGATTCCCCGGCAACAACAGCAGCAACCTGGGAGAAGGACTCCAGAGCGCGTTCCCGCTCTGGAGAGGCTAGGGGGCAATCATTCTCCTATATTCGCCCCCCATGTCACCGGCAGATGCCATCTCCCCCGAGGCAACAACGCGTTCCTTCACCGCGCCAACAACTGCAACAACAACCCCTGCGCCAACCGAGGCTGTCACCACCTAGGCGGCAGGTTGAATCTCCACCACGGCACCCTCGCCAGGTGGACCTCAGGGAAGAACAGATCCGCCTCTTGACTCAGCAAGTCAATGAGCTCCGGACCGCTGCAACAGCAGCAACGCCAACGTTGCTGCCCCAGCTGACGGCGCGGGATGCTCAGCTGGAAGCGTTTACTCTTCAAGTCCAGCAACTCCAAGCCCAGATCAACCAAGAGCCTGTCACAGTAAGGGTAAGGACTGCTA